CACTGGTGGGCGTTAAAGATGGGTAAGATAATGACCTCATGCACTTGGAACATCTCACAAGAGTTAGATTCCTCCTGTGTACAAACAAGAGAACTTACTGTCCCAGTTACATTTGATTGTAAAGTCCTTTCTGTAGTTTAAACTGATCTGTCTCTCTTCTCTGTTCAACAGCCTCTTTTCTCTCAGTTTTGTCCATAATCCTTCATGTAACTATATTGACTTTAATGAATTTTTCATAAAACCACTACTTCTCTGATAATCTGTCAAAAAAAAGATTTTTTTTCAGACTACCCTGGTAGAGATGAGCTCCTAAAATCGTCACCAGTAGGATAAATTCATTGGTCTTATATTAAGGAATAAGGTAGCTATTTTGAAAAATTATAACTCATCTTCCCTTTTTTATGTGAATTGGACCTGAACACCAGTCTCCCACCTGATTTCATGCCTGTCCCCTATGGCCCAGTTACAGCATGCTATCACATCCAGTAAGCAACCCAACAAATAAACATAACTAAAAATCACTTCCAACATTTCATTAAACATAGAACAAAGACAACTAACTACTTACAATTTTACTTTAAGACATTTTTTCCAACTCTCTAATTCACTGGACTATCTCTCAAACATTCATTCTTTTTTTTTTTTTTTTTACGTCCTAAGTATTTTTATTACCCTCAATAAAATTCCTCATCTTCATTGCTTTGGACATATTTTCCTTTAAGGAAATATTTCTCTCAAGCTAATACATGCTTATAGTCAAACATTCATTCTTTACTTACCATTCTGATTCTCTGAAACCACAAGTCCACCACTTTCTCTTTCATTCCAGTTCTATCTTTCTTTCTACCTTGAGGGCTTTATGCTTCTGATTCTTCATAATTCCAAATATAGCAAAGCAACACAGATAAAAGTCTAGGTAAAGCAAAGCAGATAAAGCTTCTTCTTCAAAGCGACATTGGAGACCTGAAGATAACTTATCTTTATCAGTTGCACCCAAGAAGGCTGAAGACACGCATAGATGAATACATTTGGTGGCTAGCAGCCAAGTATAAATCCATGCAAATCCCAGATTATCTAACTGGAGGTCATTTCAAGCTTAGAAAGGAGTCATCTGAATGGGATGGGGTCCTTGTATTCTTACTAATACTTTCATTTTGGGAGCTAACAAACGCAGCTTTATTTCCATAATCATCTTCTCTTTTGCCTCAGTTACAATTTCCTTAATACTTTGGTAGTTATTTATTTTATTCTATGTGGTTTGAAACCTTCAAGTTCTCATTCTCACCTTCCTCCAGGACCCAGAAGACAGGCCAGGGACATCATTGCTGGAAATCACCAGTCCTCTCAAATTTCTTCCCTTTTCTTTGGCTAGTTTCTGGCACAGATGAGAAAAACCTTTCTTTTGTGAAGAAGGCCTTGTTATACATATTTGTAGAGCTATCTTGGGGTTCTTGAGATCACAATCTAGGTGTTTGAGAGCCATCTACCTACTACAAACCATCTCCGAGCCCCTCGACATGACTTTAAATTGTTTGGAGATTCTGAAATCAAATGATTTCTAAAAAAAATTAAAAAAAATAAAGAAAGGAAAATTGGGGGCACAATAATTTTTGGAATTCTATACTTCCTGCATACCAAGTCCTGAGGTCCTCAATGTACAATAGCAAGTGAGGAAATTCCAAAAGAATGTTTAACGCAATGCTTTCAATGTGTTTTAAAAATTAATTACTTTTAAAGTTCGCAATTTCCTTTGGTATGGGTGATGCAACCTTGGAATTCATTTAAGAGGAAACAATGAAAGTTTATAGGTCAAGACTATTATTCAGCTCTGATCGGGTTGGGAGTTTGATATTTGATTTCTTATATTGCTTTTTTCATAAATTGTAAAGTAAAAATGCAATTTAAATAAAGGGGTTTCAATGGGGCTTTTTTGTTTATGTTTTTCAAGATTTTATAGCATCTAAAAGAACATACTTTCCAATTTTAAAACATCTCAATGACTTTCGCCTAATTACATTTGTTTGCTTACTAGTACGTTAACTAGAATTGTTCCAAAACTAGAAAAAAAGATTTTATATTCCATCATAATAACCAGGGTGGACTGTAAAAATATTGTCCTTTATATACTTATATTTTCATACTTAGAAGCAGACTTTTCTAAGTTGTTTTTATTGTAGTTGTTCTGGTAATTCATTGCCAGGTAACACATTATCCCAGTTTTACTGATTAAAACAGAATCACTTGATTTTGCCCACAGATTCTGCAGGTTAAGTGTTCAGACAGGACAAGGGGATGGGTTGCTCTGCTTCTGGGACCTCTATGGAAAGAAGAATGGGTGGAGTCACTTAAGTGACCAGAACTGGAGTCATCTGCAGGAGTCATTGGGTCCTCACATTCTAGTACTCAGGCCAGGGCACCGCAAGGCTGGGCTCAGCCGAACTGTCCCTTAGAGACTGAAACAGGACCCACTGGGTTTGTGAATGTTTGTAATTAACATAGTCAAGTGAGTGAGTGTGTGTTTGTGTGTGTGTGTGTGTGTGTGTGAGAGAGAGAGAGAGAGAGAGAGAGAGAGAGAGATGTTTCCTACTCTGGATAAATGCTGACTTTTGCATGAGAAACTAGGCTTCCTTATCTGAGGCTGTGGAGTTTTTCTTCAGTGTTGCTAATATCTTCCTCTGCTTTTCAGAGTTGATGTGGATTTTATTTTTATTGTATTTATTTGTTTGTTTGTTTAATTATTTATTTATTTTGCATAGAAGAACTGGGGTGTTGGCCAGATTGCGGGGGTTGGGGGGGAGAAGGGGTAAGAAGATTCACCAGAGACAGAGTGGGGAGCAGAACAGGTAGATCCACTGAAATCCACTGCTGAGGGGACCAGTGGGGAGACAGGAGAGGTCTGCTGCGCCATATGGGTCAGCTTCCTGGCTGGGGATCGAACTCACGCCTAAGGGAAGGTAGCACTGAGTCTCAACCTCTAGACGACCACGGAGGCCCTTGATGTGGATGTTAATCATTTAGCTCATCTGCCAAGACTTTTATTAATTGTCTTCCACTGCTAGTCGACAGAGTGTATTGAGGTCATTGTCCTCGTGTTGCAGTTGAGAGAGCAGGGCCACTTGCCTAGGCCCACACATCACAACTGGGCACACTGGGTACTTGGATCACCTTCTTGGAATCTTTGCTTAGATGCTTTCTTGAAAAAGAATTATGAAAATTTCAAACAAATAAAAAAGAATGGATCATAACATAACAAATGCCCAGAAGCCCATCACTAGACCTCAGAAGTGTGAAAAGAAAGAAAAGTTTCCAGATCAAGTGAAAGCTCCCTTTTGGTCCCTGTGCCTCAGGGAAAACCAATACCGTGGAGTTGATGTGTTACAGTCTCATACACATGTTTACCACATACATGTGGGTCTAGTAAAAATATGGCGTAGTTTTACACATTTAAATTTATATATTCCCATTCAGGATCTAATATAGTCAAATGCAAATATATTTATAGGAATATTTTGAATCTCAGTTCCCTAATACAGGAGCTACATATGTATAGTATGCATGCATATTATATATAGCATGTATGTATGTATATAATATATTCATGGGTGCATATGTATGTGTATATCTAGACATATATTATCCATTATAGGTAATAGAACCTGAACTTTCACTGTTCTATGATCATAAAATTCAGGATGATACATGATTGCGTTCAATGGATATTTCCATTTTACATACTACTTGCACACTTTGGTAGCCAAAGATCACTAGTTTAGTTCCTTAAGATCATTCCTCCACTGTCTGGAGCTTAAGTCAAGAACTACTTGAATATATTATTTTCATATAGTGAAACATCTGGTACAGTTCTGGGATGTTCAAAGCTTCATTGTCCATGTCACATTTCATGATCTGAGTCAAGAATCTGTTGTCTAGTTCTTTAATGTGCTGGTAACCTACTTGTAGTCAGTTATCATGTTTATGTATTTTCTTTTCTGTTTTTAGTCTCAATTAAAGTTCTCAGGAATTCTTCACCCCTCAGTTTGCAGATTCGACAATAGAGTATATTTCCCTATGGTACTGCACTAACCTGCAGCTCGCTCAGCAAGTCTTTTTGTTTCCATAACTACATCCTCATCTTGAATCCCATATCACCAAATCTCAGGGACACCTGTGTCATAATGTATACTGCCTAGGGTATTAATATAAAATTTATGACATTTGTTACCCATGCTCTAGTTATCGGGATGTAGAGTTCTGAACAGTCATTTCCTGCTCTTTGCCCAATTACCTCATGTAATTAACTATCACTTCTCATGTTGTTTTCCTTTGCATGCCATACCTGTGCTCCCAAACAGCAATTGTTTTCACCAGGATAGATTTTGCTCTCAAGGAACATTTGGCAACATCTGGAGATGTTTTCAATTGTCACAGGCAGGGTGCCACTGCTTTCTAAGTGGTACAGGTCAGGGATGCTGCTTAACAGCTTATGATGCAAAATACAGACCCATTTCCCACATCAAAATATTGTATAACCTGCCCCAAAATAGCAGTAGAGGAACGTTGCTGTTGTAAAACTCACTTCATGTATTTTAATTCAATTTACAGATTACCCCCATCTCTTAGACGTTCAATTGAATTATTCTCTTGTTTTAGACTAGCTGCCCAATGCAAATAATGGAAGGCTGGATGTTACAACTATGTCTTCAACTTCAATTGAAATGAGGCAGCAACTACCATCATCAAAAATGTTTTCCTTCCTAGTAAGATAGTAAGATATGACCAGGTGACATCACCAGTTACACAGATGGGGAATGAGAGAAACTGAGGCATAAATCTAAGTAAACAATAAAACAGGAATGTTAATAACTGTGATTATACTCAGACATTCTCTACTCCAAATGATTTGTTGTTATGGAATCTGCACTGCAAATATTGATATATTAAGGGAAACTCTTCGACCAACTTAATGCTAACACTGGTTCCTTTTTTCTCTTTTTCCTCAGACATTTCACATTTTCAAGAACAAAATGATTTGAAAGGATTGTTAGACAGTCTCCATCAAAATATCCAAGCCAAAAAAAGAAAGAATGTAGAAATCATGTGGCTGGCTGCAACGGTGAGCACTTCCCTGTCAAATTATATTTGCTATCACCATGGTGACCATCAGACCTTATTGGGCATCTTCTGTGTAGCTCCAACCTCTGCCCTTTGGGTTACCAGATGTCATCTTTCATTCTCAGGGGGATGAGGCATTTTCAGTGCTGTTGGTAGTTCTACCAGTAGATCAGAGGATATATGAAATGAGAAAGAAACCCACTGGCTTTTCTTGGTGCCCTATTTTGTTTGATACTTGGAGATTGAAGCCAAATGTGTGTGATATTCTTGATGTTGTATGTTACAGTGTCAATTGCCCATAATAATCAGAACCTTGAAGTGCTGCTGCAGAGACATATGGCATCCATAGAGTATGGTCACCAGATATTTACTCCCAGGCTTAGCAAGGCTCCTGGACATACTATTGAATTAATGAGCTTGTAAATGCATTTGTTAATTTAGATATTGGTATAGACTCTGTACTGTTGGATTGCTCTTGGTACCATGAGCTTTATTTTCTGTGGTTCTTCCTCATTCGATGGCACCCTCAAGACAGAAGAAGTGCCTGCTTTCCCATCATGGGTTTGCACAAGAGCGAAGCCCAAACCTGGCTTCTGTTTGTCTAAACTCTTAATTGTAGTGACTGCACAGCCTTGCTGGTTTAATTTGGATCCGGGATAGCCCATCTTCTGAGATACTCCTTTCATTCACTATCAACAGCATTTAAAACCCGCCTTTCCCCTTACTGCCAGTATTTAAATTATAACCCTATGTTACTTACACTCTCCTGGGAAAGATGAATGGATAACTTACCATGAGTCTATATAAAATAATTTACCAGGCACAAGGCAGAGGAAAGGGCTTGAGTTTCCCTCCATGCCCTCTTGGAACCCCGGGGATGAACATCAAAGGTAACAATATGAAACACTGCTTTCAGGCAGCTCATTTACTCTGGTCTCATTTAGCGCCAGCTTGCATTACACAAAAGTTGTTTTTAATAGTTCTCTCCCCAGTGTGTCTTCTCTTTATATCTTCAAAGACTTCTATGGTGTTCATTCTCAGAAAGATGGGCCGTAACTTACTTTTCCTATTTTACTAATAATATGATAGCAGAAAGGTAGCTTGATCACTTGCCAAGGCTAGCTGACAACACAGGGACACACTGAGAGGTGGCCATGTACCTCTCATGAGGGTGTATAAGGTGTATAAGGTGTATAAGATGTATAAGATGTACCTCTCATGAGGGTGTATAAGGGTAAGTCAAAGATGTTCTCGTGCAAAAAATGTATATGGTCTCATAGTATATGTAATTTTCCCATTTCAATATGTAAAAATGTCTTCCCACAAATTCCATACATTTCTTAAATATTTTTCTGAAATATGTATACCGACCACACGTGGCTTATTCACAACTCACCGTGGAGGGTCAAAAGCCTGCCTTGGGGAGCGCACAGCACGGTAGTGTGCCAACTCGGCATTCTCGGGAGCAGTGATCTTATTAGTAGTAGCATTTCTACAAGCTGGAACTTCAGTTTAAATATTCTTTTTGTTAATGTTTTACATTCTAATTGAAAAGTAGCAAGCTATTTGGTTTTATCTTGATCGGATTTAAAAATATAGACAAGAATTTAAAGAGACCAAACGCCAATCTAGGGTGTTCAGTTAAGCCTTGTCTGCTGCAGAGGCAACACATGTATGTTTGAAATTTCAAAACCAAGATTTGCAAAGGTTTCTCACATGTAAGGTAAAAAAAATGTCAGCTATTTGTCCATTCAAATCAGGGTTTGATCCAGGAAATAGAATCTCCCCCCAGTGTCACTTCAACTGTGACTATTGTCATCAGGTCCCCTCTCCCAGGGCTTTGCTATTTTTGCTGGATATTTATCATTTCCTGTGGCTTCAGCAACAACCCCCCACCCCTGCCCCCCACCCCGCCCCCACCTCACCAGCAAGGGGCTAAACAAATTAAACCTATTCACCAGCTTTGGAAATGAAAAGGTAACATTTTTACATTCAATGGGACAGATTGAGCCAATTGACTGTCAAAAGGGGACATGGACCCTGACCCCTTAGAGCAAACCCCGCTGAACGTGGCTGTTTCTCCTCCGTGTTTCAGATTTGTCGCAAACTCAACGGTATTCGGTTCACCTGCTGTAAAAGTGCCAAAGACAGGACGTCCATGTCGGTGACGCTGGAGCAGTGCTCCATCCTGCGCGACGAGCACCAGCTGCACAAGGACTTCTTCATCAGGGCCCTGGACTGCATGCGAAGGTACCGCCTCTGCGCTGTCTCTGATGGGCTCTCTTTACGTTGTGGTTTTTTTTTTTTTTTTTTTCCCCAAAATCCATCTTACTGGAGGGTTAAATAGTAGCTTCACTGCATTTCCATGGCTGAAAGCTCATGACATGAATGAACATCATTTTAAATCCCCCCCTGCTCATTTGTGGCACTCAAAGAAAATGTGGCCCCAGCTTGACGGCCCCCAGGGAGGCTGCATCTGTTTCACCAGCTTCTTCAGACCTGTGTTTAGGGCTCGCTCGGGCCTTTCCGCAGTCACCTGCAAGGAGGGCCCCTGACCTGGAAGGGGTATGCGTGTGTGCAAAAGTAAATGAAGTCGTTATCCAAACAAAGCCTTGCCAAGCTGCCCCTGAGGATCCTCCTGAGATCCGCAGGCCCCAGGTCGGCCACCTCCTTCCTGAAGTGGTCGCCCCCTCTCACCCCAGCACGTGCCGCTGAGGCTCTGACGGGGAATTAATATTGCTACTCGGCCGACATTTAAAGGCTCTGCCTGAAGTCATGTTTCTTGATTCATTTCCACGGTAATTAAATCTAAAGCCTAATCCGTAATGGGGAGGATAAAGTGCCTCGTTGGCAAGGTCTGTCAGCAAGGACACATGCTAATTAAAAAGTTAAGCAAAATTGTCCCTTTGCTTGGAGACTGATGCAGAGGCACCCCAGGAAGGGCGGGAAGGGCCCTCCCCAGGAGGCAACAGGACGCCCTGGGGCCCGGCCTGTCTGGCATGTCACTGCCTTCCAGGTTTCTCTAGAAGCTGCAGTTTTCAGGGACAGTGTTGCAGCTTGCTGGAGTATGTGTTCTCCCCCTAATGACGGGTCTGAAGTCCTCTAGTGTACCCCATTTCATGTCTCTTGGCATTTTCATTGTTCAGTGGTGACCCATCACAATTTTTTGATAAATGAAGTTGTCTTAGAGACCTAACATGAACATCTCAGCCACATAAAATACATTTATTTGATGTAAAACTCTCCTTTCAAGAATCATCTCAGCACTAAAGGGGGAAATTCAGGATCTGAGTGTACAATCTTCTTAAGTGCATCAGAAGAATACAGATGTCACTGTGGGTGGAACAAGGGTGCTGGGCACAGACAGGAAAAGCAGAGGACACCAACTGGCCAGAGGTCAGAGGACCAGCGCGTCCAACCAACTCTTAACTCTGGGGGCGACATGGGGGGGACGGGTTGAAATTGGTACTAGCTTACTTAAGGTAGAGGTAAGAGAAAGATAAATTAGAAAGAAAATTCTTTCCGATTAGCACATAAAGGACATGTCTCTCCTATTCATGTTAAACTGTAAACCAGTTTATTCTGGTATCACATCAAAGTTGTGCAGAATCCACACCATCCTATAGGTAACACATTTGTTTGGGAGATGACATTTACAGAAGTTCATTCTGGTAAGGCATTAGCAATTAATCTAAAAACTCCAAAGACCTTAACTTCCATATCCCTGCTGCTCTAGTGATGCTTTTTTGGTCAATTTCAAATTTGTCAAATTTACCCTTCAGTTGTGTGTCCGTGAGAGGGCCGTGTGAGAGTGTGAAGGTTTGATGTATGTGCATGTATACATGTGTTCCTGCATTTCAGGGAAATAAGATGCGCCCTTTTAAATATCTGCTGGCATTTCCCTCTCTGGGTATCTCTACAACACCAGGCCAAAGGTTTATAAGTTCTGGCCACTCCCCCAGAGTAAATGAGAGCCTGGGACAGGGGGCCTGCTGATCTGAGTTTAAATCCAGGCTACGTGCCATTTAATAGTTATAGTCGCCTTCTGCAAGCTAATCTCTTATTGTTTCTTAGTGCCCTAGGCAAGGTAGGCAACCTCTTGCTGCCTCACTTTCCTTTTCTGTAAAACTGTGAACTACTTAGGACAGTGTTTCACACAGTAATCACTATAACATGTTTGGTAAATGAAAAATTAATGCTGAGGTCGTGATGCGAACATTCTGATCTTCCAGGTACACTGAAATGTGGCTAGGTTTGATCCTTATAATCTTTGTGAATATATTATGACGTAAGATTTGACTCCAGCAACATAGATTAAAATAAAGTCGGCTGTCATCTTTTGTAAGATTTCAAATACAACACTTAAATCTATTTAAAAAAAATTCCTTAAATTCTACTTTTATGTGTATAGGTGTATAAGCACTATGCTATTATAGATGACTGCATTCTTTAAAGGCTGCATAGGTTTATGACGTTATTTGATGTTAATATGTATTATTGTATGCCCTTACATATATTTGTAGAATTTGAGACCAAGGAGTCACCTTACAAATTAGCCAAATCTGTTCCACCTTATAAATAAAGACAGAGAGGTTCTTGGCCACACCGGCTCCCAGGGAATGTCCCAGCCAGCATTATGATGCCCTGCTTATATTCTAATGCTATTTTCTTGGTACCAAATAAAACAAAATTCTGTCACCTTAAAATCATTTGGTAATGTATTTGACTACTTAAAATCTGTTAGTTAAAAATAATATGTATAAAAACCATGCACTTTTAGAAATTTAAGCATGTGAGCAAAACCAGAGCAGCTACCCAAATCCTGAGACCTTCTAGAAGAAATTCCAGCTCTAGACTTGTTCATTGTTATACTGGGGCATTGAACAGTGTCTGGTCCAAAGTAAAACAATATTAACATAAGTAACATAAGTCACCAAAAAAATGAAAAACAGTCCAAATGTGTCAATGACCAAACCAGGCCTTTCACTCACTCCCAGAAAGCCAAACTGAGTCAAGAGAAATGTCTTCCCATGAAGGAGTTTTATTCAAGAGGGCTATTGTAGCGGCAGGAAGGGGACAGGAGCAGAATATCTATGACCACAGCAGACGGGGTAAAGGAGGCATCCTGGAGCCCTTGGTGGCTTTTGCAGGTCTTTATTCGGATTTACCAGGTACATGGCGGGCAGGGGTGCTGGGGGCCAGGGGGCAGGCAGCCTGCCAGCCCCCAGCAAATCTTCACTCTATCTGGGCTCTCCGGCCTTCTCTCATGACCTTTGCTTCTCTGGTCCTTTCACTCTGCTCTTCTGCTGGTGTCCCCGTGATGCCGCCCTTATAAGCTCAGCCTCTCAGCCCCAGTGTACCCACTTACGCATGCCCACACCCCACCCCAGGTGCCCGCCATCAGGCATGCATTCAGGACCGTAGGGGTCCACCATCAATCCCAATGTCAGGAGGGCAGAAAAGCCTGACACTTTTTTACCTTACCCTACAGCTATCAAGGGAGTCTGGGGGATAGGCACCCCAAAACAACTGGCTCCCCAAGTGGCAGGAGTGCTGGGAATTTACAAGGGGTGGAGGAAGGTGAGGGAGGGCAGAGCTTCTCCAGGTCCTGTGGCAGGGTCAAGGTGCTGGGCTTTCCCAGCGGTGTGTTGTCAGCCATCAGCAGATGTTTGTTTCGATGCCACTGTCAGCTCAGAGAGAGAGAACTGGGTTAGGGACAGACTCCATTTTCCAAGTTCCCAGAATGCAGGTGGAGCCAATTAACAGTCATTCATGAGGCAGGAGTAGGGGCTGCGTTCCAGTGAGTTAAGTTAGTCCTGGAGAGGCAATGCAATACAAGGGCTAAAGTTTAATCCCACTTATTCCTTATTTTTAGTCTGGGAGTGTTTTCTGTTGCTACAGAAGGATTGATAGTTCTCATCTTTTGCTCTTCAAAACTGTATAGCAACTTTCTTGTCAATTATTTACTGATAAGACAGGGGGGTGGGTGGCGGGGAGAGGATTCACCAGAGACAGAGTGGGGAGCAGAACAGCAGATCCACTGAACTACAATGCTAAGGGGAGCAGCCAGTGAGACAGGAGAGGTCTGCTGCATCATGTGTGTCAGCTCCCCGGCCTGGGATTGAGCTCTTGTGCGGTGGCTGGGGATAGCTTGACAGCACTGAAACTTTAACCCCTGTGCCACCAGGGAGGCCCAGCTCTGTGATTTCCTGGATGGACTGGTTAACTTTCTGGCTAGATCACTGGATGGGGGAGTGGCCGAGCAGAGAGTCTGGCTGGCTGTGAGGGGGACAGTCAGCATTTCTTTGCCTCCGAAAAATGCTCATGTTTCTGCCCCCACCTAAGACTGGGATTTTCCACCCTCTACTCCCTTTTTGGGCCCTCAGCAGCAATGTTTCTGGTCTCCACAGAAGCTCCTGGTGGCAGCGCAGAGGAGGGGGGAAGCAGCAGACCCCCTGTTCTTATTCTATGCAGATACTCAGCAGTTTTCCTTGAAGAAACACTTCTCAGCTTGTTGCTTGACTTGGGTTGATTATTAGAGTCCAAAAATGATTGTTTTTGACATATCTTCCAGTGTCACAGTTTTGTGGGAGGAAGAGGATTTGCAGAGCTCCTTGTAGTGCTGCTAGGAGTCCCTCCCTCCTGTGGCTGTAAAATGCACATCACAGGCCCTTTTAGACATTTTGCTTGACCTCACGTGGTTTATAATTGAGAAAATGCAAGATGGATCCAGGGATCTAAACTTTTTAAGAACTTCACAAAAATCGAGTGCCCAACCCTGGATAAAAAAGAAATTGGTGTTTGATTCTTATGCATTTGATCATATACAAGTTTTTATTTTATTTAACATCACTTGCAGTTTATTTTACTTTTGAATTATTCTAAGCACCTTTCAGTCTGTTTACCATGGAATTTATAAAAGTTCACCAGGGTTATAATATTATTGCTGCTTTGCTAGTTTTACTTCTTCCTTGTCTATATTAAATTTTTCTGTTGTATTTATCTCTAAAACAAATTATTTGTGGACATGCAAAATTTTATAATTAAAGGGAGTCAATAAACATTAATGCTTCATCTAGCTGCTTACTCAGAAATACCTTACCAGAATAAGCTCCTAGAGGAAGGAAGGAGCTTTGTTTTTCGTTGCTCACTGCTGTATCCCCATCACCTTGAACAATGCCTGGCCACTGAGGCTTCTCAATAAATATGCAGCGAGAGAATGAATGAATAACAGGTTTCTAAAATGTTCA